GCAACAATGAATGAATGGAATTCCAAAATCTCTGTAGATGTTCATTGAAAAGAAAAATAAAGAAATTTTTTTTAAAAGGTGCTAGTTATTACTGAGGGACATGTTATTAGTAGTAAATGAAAAAAAGCAGTCTTTGTTAGAAAATGGCTGTAGCTCTGGTGACCTAGTGGCAAGAAGCTGCACTGTAACACCAGAGAGGCACACGGTTCTAATCCACCAGATTCTCTGCTTTAAAAGGAGACACAATCTCCTCCTGTACCAGTCAGATCCGATTTGTTGGTACACATACATACAAAATAATAATTTTTTTTCCAAAAAAAGAGAAAGTGGCAGGGAACTTGCCTGAATTGTTATATTCTGATTTTGGGTACCAAGTAGAATTTGTTAAGTGATGAAGCTGGATATCTATCTGAGAAGATTCTCAAGCAAAATGTGGAAGGAATGGCTTAGTTTCTCTTTGCTTTTTCTCAAAAAAGGAAAGAAGAACAAAAATATATGAAGAAGTTGGTAAGCAAAAAGGAACTCAGATGTTCATTAAAATTATTTTTAAAAAATAAAATTTAAAAAAAAGGAACTCAGAAGTTTATGATGTGGAAAATTGTCAGCTTACTGAGATGTGGCTCAAGAGGGTCAGGCAGCTTCCGAAAATCCACTGGAGAGGTAGCTCTGGTGTGATTCTGACTCAACAGCAAACAACAACATTTAGACACAAGCCCCAAGATGTGGCCAGAGAAATTTTTGCTGAAGAGATTAGGCACGTGATTCATAGATTTAATCAATACTCTCAGCAGAAAATCAGGAATGATTTATCCTGAAGGATATATGGAGAACTCTCCATAATGGGTGTGGGTCCCCTCAACATCCGGGAAAGACTGACAACATTTTGGGGAATTTTATGTCAGACTAGCTGAAAGAGATGGAATGAAATAAAGAAAGAATGACTCCAAGGCCTGTGTGTTGAGAAAACAAGGAGAGCAAAGGATGCAGCCTCGGTGTCTCTTTGGACCCAAAGTGAACTCTCCACACTGATGAGACCAGAAACTGAGGCTGTGTGTCAGAAAGGTGTTATTCCTGCCCAGCTCTGTCTAGAGGATAGAGGTTCAAGCTTTCAGAGGCTTTCTTTCTTTTTTTTTTTATTTAATAAAATTTTTCCAGAGGCTTTCTTAAACCTTGCAATGGAATGAGAGACATTCCCTACTGGATTTAGAACTTTAGAATGTGAGGATCAGCAAAGTATCAAGGCCTTTTAAGTCGTGGAGTACTGAATATCCGGTGGACTGCCAAAAGAACAAACAAGTCTATCTTGGAGGAAGTGCAAGCTCCTTAGAGGCAGGGATGTTGAAACTTTGTCTCATATATTTTGGGTGTGTTTGCAGGAGGGGCCAGTCCTTGGAAAAAAGACATCATGCTTGGAAAAGTGGAGGGCCAGAGAAAGAGATGAAGACCCTGGACAAGATGGATCTACAGTGACTAACAGTGCTTCAGTTGGTGGGGATCTTGACGGTGAGCAGGGCAGGGCAAGTTTCAGATCTGTTACTCACTCTGAGTTAGAGCTGACTCGAAGGCCGTTATCACCCCACTACTGTGTTTTGCAAGCAGGTAACTCGTTACTGAGTGTTCACAGGTTCACAGAGGACGAGGGATTTTGTCCAGAATGGACCAGGTACAGAGTTGCACCCATTCTATATTTATTTTATTTAGAAGATGTGAAATCTGGAATGGAACTTCTGGAATTTGTCCCATTTTAATGAGTTTGGTGGTTCTTGTTTTGATGTGGGAAAGATGTAGAGTCTGGGTGACAGAAAGGGAACTATGAGGGGTTGTGAATGCTCCCTGGTTTGGAAAGCACCTGTGAATGGTACCCTAGCGCAGAGGGTGGTACATGGGGTTGGTTCTCGGCTGCAGAGGTCTGCAGTTAGGGCCCCAGCTTCCAGGAAGAGGCCTCAGGGTGGGAGACCCTAGAAGTTCGGAAAACCGTGCAGTCCTGGCATGGATGGGAATCAGTGCAAGCTTGTCAGTCGGGTTGGGTTTGGGAATGTCACCTTCCTTGGAACTGGGGTCTTTACAAGTTGAAATCAGGTTAAGGTGAGGTCACGGCGGAACCTAATCCAGTTTCATTTCTGTTGTTCTAAGCAGAGGCATGAGACAACGTGATGCACCTACAAGCCAAGGACTGCAGAGTGGTGGTCTGAGGCAGCTTCCCGGGAGCCTTCTGAGGCCGGCCGCCCTGCAGACAACTGGTCAGAAGTGGGGGGGGGGGGGGGAGCGCAGATTTCCTGTGTCCACCCCGTCTGTGGGATCTGTGGTGACTCCAGGAAGCCAGCCCAGGACCCCCACCCCCCAGGCCTGAGCTCGGCCCACCGGGTGGTCCGCCAGCCTCTTCCTCGCTGCCTCCCCACCAGCCTCCTTGCTGCACCGCGAGGCGCTCCGTCGACGCGGTCTCCTGAGCCTGTCCAGGCAGGGCGGCCGCGCAGCGCCCCTTCCCAGAGGGCCAAAGCCCTGCCCGGCGCGAGCCGCTCCCCGCTGTGCCTCGGTTTCCTCTCCACCTCCAGCCTGGCGCTCGGACGTAGGAACAACACCCGGCGTTTCACAAAGCACCCCAGCCCCCAGCTGCCCTGCGCCCAGACCGCACCGAGCTGGTCACATGCGCTCGTGCTCCCCGGTGTGACCGGCCCCCCAGCCCTTTGTGAGCGCGGCTCCGGCGCGGCCGCGACCCGGGCTCTGAGTGTGAGAGGCGCGGCGAGCAGCTGGCCGCCCGAGGTGCCCGGACGCGCAGAGC